CAGACTGTGCCTTGGGCACCGTCTGCAGCACATGCACTCGCTGGTCTTCTGCTTCCCACCTGGGACGAGATTGGCAGCACGTGCTGTGCCCTGCCACGTGCCATCTCTCCTTGGCAGAAAGCACGCAAAATGGAGAACAGGGCAGACCCCTCCCTTAGGCAGCAGATGAGGTGGCGAGGAGCACCCCGTCTGGGCTCTGCAACCCCCACACGTGTCGGCTGAAGCACACGTGCCGGCTGAAGCCACCAATGCCAAGATGCCCTGCGGCTCCTTCCTCCTCCAGCTCCCACACATTACCTCGCCCTCCCTGCAAACACGGGGGACGCTGGCTGTGACACCCAGAGGGTTTGGAGCATCCCGACAGCCAGCCTGTGCCGATGGCTAATCTAGCTGCAGATGAGGTTTCCTCCCTGGAGCCCTGTCCTGATCCATCCAGTGCTTCAGGAAGGTACCGGAGCAGAGTCACCAAAAAAGTTACAGAGCATTTCAGACTCTGTCCCCTATGGCTTTCAAAGGAGGAAATCAAAGGGAAGCGCTGCGCTTTGTTCTGCGGGGGAGCGGCACGAAAGGTGAGCGGCGGCGAGCCCGGCAGAACCAGTCACTTCAATCGTCCGCCAGCTCACCTTTGAAGTGGGTTTAAAAATCAGGGAGGAGGGGCAGAGACCCGACTTCAGCTCTTTTACTGCAACTTCACAGAATTTGTGAATGTGTGGGGTAAGAGGCTGCCTTTCCTCCACCAGAAAAAAATAGTATATTTGTTCAGAGAGAATAGAATATGGCTAATAAAAAGGCAGTGATGCTCATCAAGCACACATCTGTTGTGCTCTCACGTCCCGAGAAGGCTATGAACAACTACAACAGCAGCAACACCCACCTACGGTACCAACAGAGACACACCAGGCATCCACGGGATTTAACCGGGCACCCTGACACAGCCGCTGGTCCAGTGCCGACAAGCAACCACCTCTCACCAGTCACAGCCCTCTCTCTGCCTGGCGTTCCCTCTCCCCCTGCCCACCTGTGCTTTCCCTGTTGCCTCTCTTTAACAAAAAGGAATGCTTTTAACCCCAGTCCGCACAAATCTGATGTATATACATAGAAAGGCCATAGCTGATCGGCATGACCAGTAACCCCACGTCCAGAGTCCCCACCAAGCTCGCTTCTATACAAACACCATCACTGGGACAATGCCAAGACATGAGACGACACCCTCGTACCACCATGGACAAGCAGATGCCACTCTATGCAAATTCAAAGGTTTAAGGAGCCATGGAATGCATTCGACTCAGAACCAAATAACAACTGTGAGTTGGAAGCCAAGTTACTGTCTTTAGGGGAAAGAACAAGCCTGGATCCAACGTCTTTTAAGAATCAAGACCAAATCCAGTGTCTCTGGCTTGCTGAGAAGACCTCACACAGCACATTCACATGAAAGCTTGGCTGAAGACATCTACCTACACCTTACACATGCATGCGGAAACACACGTGCAAAATTCAGACACCCCAAGAAGCGATTCAGCACGCCTGAGGTTATGTCTTGCATCCGAAACGTCTTTTCTCTCGATTTGCACACAAGTCTTATTCTAAAAGGCAGGGGAATGGCAATCAGCAGGCAAAGAGAACTGCACTTGCCTCCTGACCCCAACGCGCACCCTTACAAAGCTTCCCCGTAGTCCTGTCGTTACGACGTGTGTGGGAGTAGGCGAGATCGGTTTTCAGTAAAGCTATCCCATCAGTTGGCTTCCGCGTGCGTAACACTCACCTGAAAAGAGCTGGCGTTGAAGAATCCAGATGTCCTGAGCCGAGACACTTTCAGCTTGTTCACCTCTCCACATTTTCAGCTCTGTTCACGACGCAGACAGAGATGTTGGCTACTTCAGCCTTCTGCACGCATCAACAGGCTCTCCTCCAACTTCTGTTTCACCTTTTGAAGTTAGAGTGTGGTCAAAAAAATGAGATGGCTTTAGGACACAAGTGTGAGCTACTGGCTAAATCACGGGGCATAAGGAATCGGTAGCCTTTGATTTTATTTGCCACAGATTAGCTCTATCAATCTGATTGAGACTCCTCTCCCCAGAAAAGCAGAGGTAACAAGACAGCGCTCAGGAGTCCCGATGCTTTCACCCTAAACACACAGTATACAAACCGATGGCACTGGGATTCAGCAACCAAATAGCTAAAGGCAAAATCAGAGTCTTTTAGCCTTTTCCCTAGATTTAAGGGCAAGGTCTGTGGCTGCAACCGCATACCTTAAGCTTTAAGCCACCAACACTTCTGTTTCCAGTTTTGCTAGCTTCATCACGCAGCCTGGGCACACCACAGGGCTCATTTCCCTGCTTTACCCCTTGGTTTTATAGCAGCGTCTCCAATCTCTCCCAGCAAGAAGTAAACGTTATCACATGAGGGAATACTTTCCATTCTGGAAGCAGGGGCAGGAAATAATCAAGGAGCTCTTCTCACGTCTTTCTTTGGGGAGTGTCTAAGGACAACTGCTCAGGGCTTCTCTGGGTGGAGTGCCCTACCACCTCACTTTAGATCCTCTCCCTCCCCTTCCCTTGTGCGACTTACCAGCTTCAGAGAGCAGGACAGCCTTCTCTGAGGAGGCAGAAACCCGGGGCAGATGGGAGAAGGGAAGCTCTGCTCAGCTGCTTCTGGCAGCCTGGGAGGGTCTGCAGCTGCTTCTCATCTCCTTTATTGCGCTGAAGCAGCTTTTGCTGGGTGGCCCCCACCTCACTCCGGGGACACCGGCTCTGAACCAGCTACAGGTGGATTCCGTCGCTGCCTGCAAAACGCCAGCTCACACGGCCTCTTGTGGCCGAGGCACACAGGCTGGCGATGCTCTGCCAGCCCGCTCCAACCAGGGTGCCCAGAACTGCGTACTCCCCGCGGACACCTCCGTCCCCACGCGGTCTTTTTCGAGTCACACATTCGCGCCTCACGGGTGGCCCCACCTGCTCTTCGAAAGCCACACCTGGCCAAAGAGCAAGCGGGTCAAGATATTTCATCTGCGTGCGAGGTCCGGCCATCGCAGGACTTGTTTTACCCCCCTCAAATACTCACGAGAATTATTAACATAACTGCATCCAGTTTAGTTCTCATGTGAGCTTGTTGTTCAAGTGCCAAAGGTTATGCAGGTAGGTGAGGCACCAATTGAGGCCACGTGTAGATAATCACAGGCTTAACGAATTACTATGCCTCAGCTGACACATACACCGCTGTGTGAGAGTTTTACTCCAGGTAGAGAGGGGGAAAGCAACTTCGTGGTGCGACAGGTTGAGTGATACGTGGTAAATTATTAAGCTATAGTAGCTGGGTTGTCTGCAACACGTCCCAAGTCAAATACCAGGCTCCATTTTCAGGAAGGGGAAAGGGTTTTGATTGGGGTGTGCTCAGATTCTTTGAGGAAAGCAGCCTCCTGAGCAGGTGCAGCTCACATCTGAGGAATCTGACAGGGAGCATGTCGTCTCCGCTAGCAGAACTTTGTCACACAAGGGCGGAAAAAGCTGCGCGGCTGTAGTCTTTCGCATCGAGCAAAGAATGAGCCACACTGACGTGACGTTTGTGGAATGCCTAACAAGAACAAAACAAACCTTAACACGGTGCAAACAGTCACTGCCTTTATTGAAGAGGCAAAATGAGCAGTCCAGATCCTTCTCTGCCCTTTGGGGGTTACCTTTTCAAGAAAAACTGGGTTCAGTGTTCCACTTATTTTTCAGCAGATCATCTTGAAAGGTGCAAATATGCAAAGGGCGAGAATAGGGACAGCAAATAGTGCAGGAACATTTGTCCCAAAGCACTGCAGAGCCCATCTGCCGTGGGGAGAAGCACCTTACCCCTTTCATCGTGCAGAATAAAGCCAAACAAGTCAAAGCAAAACTTGGGCTACAAGGGTCACAGTGTTCACTTTTCAGCCGAGATTCTCCCAGCATCATGACGCTGGTGTTATGACACAATCTGTTTCCAGCCGTTGCCAAAGCCAGCCTCTTTCTGCCTGTCTCCCTGCCACAGACTGGCAGCAAGTCCCTGAAGTTCTCCTCCGTTACGAGTATAACCTGCGTCTTCCTACAAAACGGTCAACATGTGCACAGAGTCTGAAATTTAATCGCCTGCTGGTACTAAGCCAAGGCTTAGATTTTGATTTGTAGCTACTCCATTTCTACCTGTGCGACCTACTCCCCTGCCCCCCAAGCAAAAGAGTGGTGGTGAGCAGGCAAATAGGATGAGCATGCATTACAACCCCCCCTTTAACAGCACAAACCACATCGCTTCCTTCGTAATCCCCGGGACAGATCAGGCAGGGGCCACGTGTGCAAGACAGGGTCGAAGATACGAAAGCGACTCAAGAAGGCGCAGATTTTGGACTGCATTTTTGAGCTGCGCAAAAAGTTTCTAGAAGAGAGGCTGTGAAAGCGTGCCCCGTACCTGCTTAACCTGGCTCCTTCTCCCCCATGGTGGTGCTCCCACAGTGTTTTGTCTGGGCTGATCTAAAAGCAGTTTCCATTCTTGTTCCTGTCAAGCAGGGTGAAGGAGCTGCCCTGTACCTGCGAACGCATCCCGAGCGCTCCCCGCATCTCTCAGATCCGTCCCACATCCAGAGACATTTGTGGATGTCCACTGCAGGGCACAGGTAACATTGACCTTACCTAAAGCAGAAAAAAATTTAAAATATTAGCCTAATGAACACAGGAATGACTCGTCTATTAAGGCTCTAGCAATGTAAATGGGCAGAAAACAGAGACTACTTGGTGCCACTCATCTTATTCTCAATCAGCTCATTTACTCCACCCATACGTACCACTTACTCGCTGCAAGGGGCTTTAATAGACATTTAGAGGTGTGAAACACAGACCAGCCTTTCACCCACCTGTGTGACAGCCCTTTCAATAAAAATATTAAATCAAGTCTCTCAGCACACAGAGAACTTCAAGCTTGTGGGATTCTTTGTGCCACCTTTGGAGATCCCGCTGCACTCAGCACCTGGAGATTGCCACACAAAGAAAATGTACTTGAGTTTTCAAAAGAAGTCATTTTGGGAGAGCCTACACTTAAAGAGTGGCCTTGAGGACTGGGACATGGCAGAGGAGCTCAAACTCACCATCATGACTGAAGACTTTCTGCAAGGTAACGGCCTCAGGGGGACTGGCTGGCTTGGCTTCCTTTTAAAAAGATTCCAACGCTCGGGTGAAAATTGTAGAATCTGGTAAAGCGTAAATTCCAGTCTCAAAGTTAACAAAAAGCCCATTTTGTTTACATTTAAATGGCATCAGATCAAATTGTGTACAAGGCTAGTAGGCGGCTTATGAAAAATGAGGCTAAGACAAAAAGCAGAAGCTCACCACGGTGTCTCTGTGCTCCCCACGTCCATCAGATCCTGACGAGACTCCATGCCATCGCACGCAGAGGTGGCCACCGGACCCCCCGGCACATGGGCGCTCACTGCCGGGAACGCTGCCAGACAACAGGGGTAAGTTGGGGACCTGGTCTTACCCACAGAGGCTGGCAGTGTTCCAGGAGATGGCCCGGGAAAGGGGCCTCTGAGCTCTTGTTTGGGCTGGCCACAGCACCGCAAGAACACACACAGCCAGGCACGCTGTACACAAAATAAGAAATAAAACACGATTTAGAGGGATGAGAAGGCACCTGGGAACCTTTGCCTTGGGATTTGCGTTGCACTAGAGATTTCCCAGGCTGCCTCTGGACAGTCAGCAGGGTCTAGCAACGGTCCTCACGTAGGACCGGGGGGTGATGTTTCTCCTTGTCCTTAGAACCTGGCGTCCAGCCCCACCTGTGGATGTGGGTAAACCCCAGCCTGGTCTGCCCCATCCCCGGGAGCCCTGGTGTGGACCCGGACAGATCTGACAGCCCGGTGGCCACAGAAACCTCCTCTCCAAGAGCATCCTTGGACTGCTTCGACAGAGACTGCTCGGAGGAGGATGTGCCGTCATCCTCCAGCGAGGCTGGAAAGGTATGAAAGCGGGAACTGCTCGGGCAGTCCTAGGCACCGCACATTCCTAACGATCCCACAAGAACAAATGAGTTGGCTCGGCAGCTCCACAAGCAGCTGCGTCCTGTTTCAGCAGGGGTCAGCCAATGCACAGAGCCCGCCTGACAAGCACGGGCCGAGTGCGGGGAGGGAGCCTGAAGTTTAAAATACATAAGTTTTCTATACACGTGCTGCCAGGCTCATCCTCACCCAGAGCAAAACAGCTTATCCCCACCTGTCATTCCACCCACGGCTAATACATCCACATCCTTTTTGTCCTTCCTCTCCCCAGCTTACCGAGGGTGAAGATGCTTCGGGTGCAGACATTCCAGTTCCTCAGGAGACGCCGGAAACTCATGAACTACTTGTGGTGCCGATGCCTGGGAAACCCGCAGCCCTCAGACCTCAGAGCGTGAAGCCCAAGTACCCCAGGCAGACAAGCACTAAAACTGAGGGAGGCTGGCCCCGTCCCCCACTTTATTACTCCATCCTCATCGCCCTCGCTCTGTGCAACAGCGCGAGCGACAGTCTGACCGTACAGCAGATCTACCAGTTCACAGGGTACTCGCTCTTCTCCTGGTTTCTTGTGCAGAATGAGGGCAAGAGGGGCAGCGAGGGTACAGAAGCCTCTGATCTTCTACTGGGCAGCAGGGACATGGCAGCTCTGCCTCCCGCTCAAGGTGCTGCCGGGAATACTATTTTCCCTCTTTGTTGACACTCAAACCCATGAGTCTCGAGAGCTGTCATTTTAGTTTTGTCTTGCTCTCCTTAGAAAAACGCAGTGCTCAACTGCGCCAGCCATTCTTACAGCATGGAGGGCTAGGAGCACCTTCTCCTCCTTCCCTCGCCCGGGTACGATCTATTCTGTGATTTATCACAGCCTCTAAGTGCTTCAGCTCAGCACAGATCTTTCCTCTCTGCAGGCAGCATTTCCCATTTTTTCAAACAGCCCCGAAGGGCTGGAAAAACACGATCCGACACAACCTGTGCTTCAGCAGCTGGTTTGAGAAAACCACTGACTTTGCGTGCTGCGACAGAAACCGCAAGTCTTGCCTGTGGAAGCTGACTCCAGAAGGGCACAGAAGGTTTAAGGAGGAAGTGCAGGCCCTGCCTGAAGACGTTCTCAACTCGGTGTGCCAAAGCATGAGCAAACCGGGTACGTTTCAGTGGGCAGGAAGCTGCGCAAAATGCAGAGCGAGTCTGAATTTCCATGATTTTTTCCACAGTGGGAGGGACACATGCAGGCAACCAAGCCAGTATGCAGGCATCAGCACTGCAGGACACTGGCTCTAGGAGATGGTAGCAGGCACTTGGAGATAGCCCCACGAGCAAGGCTTGGTCACCAGACTGGCCACAACCACCTCTTTAATGAAACCAAGTTAGCAAGAGAAACCAAGTGTGCTACATTAAACACAGAACCCTCCTCTGAGCATCACAATATGACACCTATTGGTTTAACCGGGTAGGGACTGAGGCTGCAGCACCAGTGCCCGAGCGCTCACCACGGTCCAAGAAACTATCACAACCTCCTCTCTATCTCTTGCAGATCTCATGAGATCTCTGTTTGACCTGTGATTCCTTCTGGCTCCCTGCTTCTGAAACATGTATCGTGCGTTTTCAAATTGAGTTTGTTCTCTCAGGTGCTGCCACAGGTGGCTTCCCAAGAACTGCCCGTGGAAATTACTAGCATCGTGATGTAAGGACTCGGATTTAGAAGGTGGGGAGGAGAAAGATAGGAATCTCGTTTCCGTCAGAAGCACAAGTTTTTTTTCTCTAGCTGTGCACATCTCAAGTTGCAGCAGCATTTTGACCTGTGGCACCTGATACAGCTTTAACATAAAGCCCTCTGGGCAAGCTGTTGCCCCTTGCCACGTTCTGGCAGCGTGGAGGATATGAAGCTGCAGGAAAAGGTTGATCTGTTCCCTAACAAAGGGTCTCAGCCCGCAGCTCAGAGGCTGAGCAGCGGATGCATTAGTTGGCTGAGTAAGAATAGTCCCTACCATACAGCTATTATTCCAAGCTCTCGCACTTGCCCACCCTGCTGTAAAACCAGCAGGCAAGGACCCACAAAACTGCTGCACAGGCTGCTTGGAATTTCGGCACACTCACTTGGCAGAAATCAGCGAGAGCTGCAGAGGAGGGAGAGAGTTATCTTGGAGAGGCAAGGACATGACAAAGGAAGAAATAAAACCAAACCAACGACCAGAGCTTGCTGTTGTCTTGTTTACGTGCTGGCTTCCCCACCAAGAGGTGGGAAAAATCACATCCCTGGGGCCAAAAGTCAGGCAGGCAGCAGGTGGACAGTGCTCAACAAGAGTAAACTTTTCATACCTTCTTCCTGGGTGCTGCAGCAGCTGCTTGGGTCTAAGCACGATCAGTCCAGTTTTGTCTGTGTCCAGTCCCGCACGCGGCAGGAGCTGGGGCGCCCTGTCGAGAGGCTCGGGCAGCACATGCTTACGGCGCAGGGTCTGGAGCTGGCTGCTGGGCTGTGTCCTAGCCCTGACCGCAGGGAGGGGATGCCTGGGGGCAGCCCAG